AGGCACCCCGTAACTCTCTTCCGGGCTAAGTCCCCCTGAATTCTATTTGCGGTTTTGGTCCAGGGAGCTAGCGTTCAGTTCTATCGAAAGTGCCGAACCACAGGGAATAAAATATAGTTCTTTACAGTCGTTGAGTTTGCCAGTAGTCTTTTGGCAAGAGGCTGGCCAGCAGGCCTCTCCTAACACCCGTGACGAGGTTCACTAAGTCTCAATGGAGAATATAAAGAGCTACCATCTATGGCCTAGATGGCCAATGGTGTCATCTTCTTTCTTAGGGGTGGTAAGTGGGTCCTGACAAAACCCTTGTCTATAAAATCATCAGCTGCTCCAGAATCTACGAGTGCTAAAACATCCATAGATTCCTCACCCCAAGTTAAGGTGATGGGGAGAAGTCATCTTTTATGAGGCAGTAAAGGGGATCCTGATGGGGCTGGTCCCCTGAGCGACCTTAGGTGCGAGAGGTACCCCTCTTTTCTCCTATACTGTTTCTCTGCCTCAGACAATTTGGTCACCCCTAGTTGCATGAGCTCAGTATCTGTAGATGAATAAACATTAGGAACCGAAGCCATAGGGATCACAGGGATAACAGTAGAACGTCTAACACAAGTCCTCTGTTGGGCTCTTTCCCTTAGCTGATTATCACTGTGGATTATATCATCGATAAGGTCTTATAGAAGGACTGGAAGATATCTGGCTGCCACCTCATCCAGGATGTTATCATTAACCCCTTCTATGAATGCAGAAACCAAACCACTATTGGTCCAATCTACCTCAGAGACAAGAGTGCGGAAACTAATAGCATAATCCGCTATGAATCTGTTTCCCTGCTTAATCCTCATTTAGCTACACTCTTCTCTCTAACAGGTGGATCAAACACTTTACGAAAGGCTCTTACAAAGGTCTTGTAATCATAAACCAAGTCCTTGTTTGCCTCTCATAAAGGTTTAGCCCATTTCATGGCCTTGTCGGTTAATTTATGCATAAAGAAACCGGCCTTTAGACCTTTCAGGGGAGACATTTCAAAATAAAACTCTATCTGGTTAATGAACCCTTAACAGGTTTTAGGATCGCCACATATCTAGCAGGTGGTGTCAGGCTGGTGGTCATACTGTTCTGACCAGAAACTTCAATCACTACAGGCACAGGCTGGATAGGCATAGATGGAAGGTTTCCAAGGGAGAGGTGGGTTGTTCTGGCTAACAAAGACTGGAAGGCCTGAGAGAAATGGTCCATTCTGTGGTCCATTTCCTCAAATTTAGTCTGTGTTCATTTAAGGAGCTGCAGTTCGGCCCGTGAACCAGCAGAGGGAGCTGTTCAATGGACTGAAGGTGAGTATACTATTAAGGCCACGCAGCCACGTGTAGGATATGGGCCATGCGACCTGAGGACTGCAGTAGCAGTGTGTTCTGCCTGCGTAACCCGAGGAGAGGAGTGGTGTGGGCACCGGGTATAGGTAAGTTTGGGACAGAGAGATGTCAAAGAGAGACTGGGGCAGAAAAAATGGCACAGAGAGGCTAGGTCACAGAAATAGCACACAGTAGATGGGGGCAGAGAGATTGCACAGAGAGGATGCTGGTAGAGAGATAGCACAGAGTGGCTTGGGGCAGAGAGATGTTACGGAGAGGCTGGGGGCAGAGTGATAGCACAGAGTGACTGGGGCAGAGAAATGGCACAGGGAGGCTGGGGGCAGAGGGATGGAACAGAGTGGTTGGGACAGAGACACGGCACAGAGAGACTGGTGGCAGAGTGATGGCAAGGATAGTGATCGTGCTGTGGAGAAATTACATTAGCAGCCCGGAAGCGAGTTACGGAGTGCCTAAGTCATGTGTACCGAGTTGTGCTGAGCAGCAATCAAATCCACAGGAGGGTTTGTGCTGAGCAACAATTATGCAAATGGGAACCTGGTAACTGCCGTTGGGGTCAAAGGTTGATTACAGCCTATCAGATCTAGAGGAGGGGTATTTAGGCCCAGTTCTCATCCTGCTCAGTGCCCTGTCATGGTTTCCCTTGTGGTTGTCCGAGAGCGTGTTATTGATTCTGGTAATTCTGGCTATTTGACTTTGGCATTGTTTTTGACTTGTTTTCTGGCATCCCTGACTCCTGGCTTTTCCTTATCG